CACACGCACACGCACACGCACACGCACACGCACACGCACACGCACACGCATACGCACACACGCACACACACACACACGCACACACACATACACACACATACACACAACACACACACACCCACACACACACCCACACACACACACACACACACATTTTGGCGTTTTCACCCGCCCAGTATAGCCGATCGTGGCCCACAAGGAGTTCCACCGACGCCCCCAGTGGGACCGGACCGCCCGCACGCGTCCCACACGCCCAATGTGGCATTTTCACATACCCAGTACAGCGTTTCGCGGCCCCATAGGGAGCTCCACCGAAGCCCCCTCATGCGTCCCACACACCCAATTCGGCATTTTCGCATATCCAGCGCAGCGCTTCGTGGCCATATGGGGGCTCCACCGAAGCCCCCAGTGGGAACGCCCGCATGCGTCCAACACACACACACACACACACACACACACACACACACACACACACACACACACACACACACACACACACACACACACACACACACACACACACACACACACACACACACACACACACACACACACACACACACACACACACACACACACACACACACACACACACACACACACACACACACACACACACACACACACACACACACACACACACACACACACACACACACACACACACACACACACACACACACACACACACACACACATTTTGCATGTTCACCCGCCCAGTATAGCGGTCGTGGCCCCACAGGGAGCCCCACCGAAGCCCCCTCATGCGTCCCACACACCCACTTTGTAGCATTTTCACATATCCAGTGCAGCGCTTCGTGGCCCCAGGGGGGCTCCACAGAAGCCCCCAGTGGGACCGCCCGCATGTGTCCAACACACACTGACACAATTTGGCATGCTCACCCTGTACAGCAGTTCGTGGCCCCACAGGGAGCCCCACCGAAACCCCCAGTGGGACCGCCCGCATGCGTCCCACACGCCCAGCTTTGTGTATTTTTTCACACACCCAGTATAGCGCATCGTGGCCCCATCGGGAGCTCCACCGAAGCCCCCTCATGCGTCCGCCCCACACACCCAATCTGGCATTTTCGTATATCCCGCGCAGCGCTTCCCAGCCCCATCGGGGCTCCACCGAAGCCCCCAGTGGGACCGCCCGCATGCGTCCAACACGCACAGTTTGGCATGTTCACCCTGTACAGCGGTTCGTGGCCCCATAGGGAGCTCCACCGAAGCCCCCAGTGGGACCGCCCGCATGCGTCCCACACGCCCAACCTTGGCATTTTCGCACACCCAGCAGTATAGCGCATCGTGGCCCCATCGGGAGCTCCACCGAAGCCCCCTCATGCGTCCCACACACCCACTTTGTGGCATTTTCGCATGTCCAGTGCAGCGCTTCGTGGCCCCATGGGAGCTTCACCGAAGCCCTCAGTGGGGCCGCCCACATGCGTCCAACACACAATTTGGCATGTTCACCCGCCTGGCATATCGGTTCATTTTCACAGACACACACACAGGGTATTTTCCTGAAGAGCCAACATTCGGAGATCTTCTCCAGCAGGGTACCCAATTCGAAAACCAGGAAGAAGCACCAGAACAATCATAACAATTGAAAAACCAGAAGTCGGTGTTCTGTTGTTTTCTTGCTGGGCGGCGCGGGACCAGACAAAAACAGAACACAAGGTATTGGGTGTTTCTGGTTGTTCTACTCCTCACCTGGCCAGATGAGAGGTGCGGATGCTCATTTCGGTTTTCTGATGTTTCTGGTTGAGCGGCGCGGAACCAGAAGATCTAGAAGAACCAGAATTGGGAGATCTGTTTCGGCAGGGTGCCCAGCGGGGAAACCAGGAACCAAATGAAACAACCGGAATCTGGTATCATGGTTTTCTGGTGTTTCCGGTTCCCTTTTTATGAAAATGCTTTCCCGTAACATGTTGGAGGGTGGGGCGCATAGATTCGTCATGTCGGAGTTCGGTTGCTTCAATCGCACAATTGCTCCGAGCGAACCCCACCGAATTCACCAGCGACGCCCTCCATCCTGTCATCATTCCCCTCGCCGAAAGGAGGATGAGGAGTAGGTGAGGAAGACGAGGAGGAGGAGGACGAGGAGGAACGAAGCAGGACCAGTGGCGTGACTTTGTGACGCCTGTCTCGTTTGACACGTCGTCCAGGACATCGGTTATGTTATTATCGTGTCTCTCATGCTGTGCGTTGTATTATGATTGTGGATATGAAGTAATGCTGCGTTATGCCATGAGTTGTTATGTCATGTTAAAAGAGAGGTAGAGAGAGGGAGAGACAGAGAGAGAGAGAGAGAAAACCAACAACACGTAAAGAGAGAGAGAGAGATAGTGAGAGAGAGGGAGAGCGCGAGATAACAAACAGCGAGAGAGAGAGAGAGAGATCGACAGGGCAAACGTAAATATAGTGAGAGAGAACGAGAGCGGGAGAGAGAGAGAGAGACAAACAAGATCAGTATCTAAGGACGTATATATACATGTATGTATGCATCGGAGGTTGGGGGGTGAGTCCGACGTGAAACGGATAACACACATGACAGGGAGAGGCAGCATAAGGATGACAAACATGACAGAGAGAGAACGAGAGAAAAAAGGTAGAGGTAACACATTAAAAGGCAATATATAGACAGAGAGAGAAGGAGCGAAAGAGAGAGAGAGAGAGAGAGATAGAGAAAGAGAAAGAGAGATATATAGAGAGAGAGGCGAGAGGAGCCCTTCCGCTCCCTTTTCCGCGACGGGTACCTTAGGGGGGCTCCTGAGGGGGCTCATTTTTCTGCCTCTGAGGGGGCCTCTGAGGAACACGGAAATCCAGATTCCGTTGTTTAAGGGAGTTCTTGAGAAACACTCTTCAGAACCATGGTTTTTCCCCTCCTTCCTTTCTCCTCCCTCCATCTCCCTCTCCTCCCTCCCCCCTCCTCCAGCTCCCTGCTCCCGTGGCTCGCCGAGGCACGTGGGACAGGCTGGCCAGGTGCCTGCCGCAATGGGAGAGCCCCGAGGGCGCCAGGCTACGTCGGACGACTCGGGCGTCATCACCACAGCGCCTGTGCGTGATCCCGTCTTCGGGGTGGATTACGACGAGTACGACTCGGGCGTCATCACCCCCGCGTTTGTGCATGTCCCTGGCTTTCGGGGTGAAGGGGGGGAGGGGAGGGAGAGGAGGGGGCAGAGGAAGGGGAAGAGGAGGGGGAAGAGGAAGGGGAGCGGGAGGAGGATGGCCCGCCCCCTCCTCCTCCTTCTCCTTCTCCTCTTCCCTCTTTTTCAGCCTCCCCCGCGCGGGAGGGAGGTAGGGAGGGAGGGAAGGGAAATAGGAGGAGGAGGAGGAGGAGGAGGAGGAGGAGGAGGGGGAGGAGGAGGGGGAGGTTGGCATCGCGCGTGCTCCGAGGGGGCACCAGGTGGCGGCAGAGAGGACAGGGGCAGCCACGCCCGCGGCAACGACCACGCAGTTGGCGGGGCCGCGTGCACAGCGGGCCCCCTCGGCGGCAGAGACGGTGCCATCGCCCGTGGCCTTGCCATCGAGCCGGCAAGGAGAGCAGATGCCTCCCAGGGGTCGGCACCCGCAGCCGGGTCATCGGGGCTGTGTGGAGCACCACTGGGCGAGCACTGGTGGGGGCGGTCGTAGGAGAAGAAGAGGGAGGAGGAAGAGGAGGAGGAGGAGGAGGAGGAGGAGCATCTTTACCTGCTTACCTCTCCCTACACGTCCCAGCTGGTGTCCCCTGGAGCGGTGCCCCAAGGGCCAAAAAGGTTCTAGTTTGACCCCCTTCACGCCCGACCGGTCCTGGGAGGGGGTGAGGGTACGAACGACGTTGTTTCCAGCCGCCAGGAGCCAGGAGGAGGGGGAGGAGGAGGAGGAGGAGGAGGAGGAGGAGGAGGAGGAGGAGGAGGAGGAGGAGGAGGAGGAGGGGGAGGAGCAGGAGGAGGAGAAGGGCGAGGATCAGGACGAGGATGAGAGCGAGGAGGAGGACGAGGAGGAGGACGAGGAGGAGGAGTACCAGAGTAAACCCAGGATGCATACATGATGCTGCAAGGCACCCTCCCGTTACGAACCCCTTCATGAACTCCCACAAGCTACGAGAATTCCTTTTCGCTGCGGGTAGTGCCCCGTCAGAAAAGGGGAGTGCCAGATTTGACCGCAATTCAGGCCAGAGCCCTGCATTGAAAATGAGTTGCATACAGTCAAGACGCTGAAATAAGGAACAGTTTGGGTTCGGAAGGGGCTCGATGTTCCTTAGGTTCCTCCGGTGCTGTTCCTCTTGCCCTCCTGGGGCACGGAGGTGCTTGCAGGGCCAAGAAGGGGCTTCGTTCCTTATTTAGCGTTCCTTATTTCAGCGGCCCGACTGTACATCCTTCGAGATACGAGACATGCGACGAGGCTAGGCCTGAACGTTCAAATCAGTGCCCAGCCGCCACTCCGATCGGAAAAATAACCGCCCTCCATCCGTGTACGTGGTCTCAATGCTGAGCGTCTGGTAACAACAAATGATACAGGGTCATGCGAGAGTCTCGTTCTGAAAAGGCACTGTCATCCATCCGCCGTCCATCTGTGCACGGGAGTCTCATGCGAGGTCCCCCTATTGAAATTTGTCCGCCCTCCACCTGCGTGACTCGTGGAGCGCGCGCGGCATCAATGCGAGAGCCCCACGTTGAAACTCGTCTCCTCTGGATCCGTGCGACGACTCGGGACTCTTGAGACGGACCAGCGTGTGCGAGCGAGGGCCCCCCTTCTTGACAAAGGTCCGCGCTCGCGATGCGTGCGATTGCTGGAGATGTGAGGTTTCAATATCGTAATCGGTGAGGGGGGGTCGAGAATACAGTGGGGGCTCGCATCTAGAAGCCACATGCTGTTCGTCAGGGTATCCCGGTTTTTTTCGCTCCTCGCGCTGCGCGGTGACTTCCTGCAGCCGTTGAAGGAGCTGCTGCGTTCAGGGTGCTCCAGGTTTCCCCTCAGGTGCACCTCGCGCACATATTCTCAGGGTTGGGTTTCTTGCGAGGGTTTCATGCGGCCGCGCCCGCACTGTAAGACGGGTTCCAACCATTTCGGACCGTTCACGAATTATTCCCGACCAGCTACAGCCACTGGAGACGGACTGATCGCAACGTGTAGGATTCCGGTTGTCAACGTACACGGCCAGCTCCGTATTGCTTTCAGGGAAGCTTGCCGATCCCGTTTCATGCGTCCGTCCGTTTGCAACGGCTCGTTGTGGTCGCGCTTTGTGACGGCCCAGCGTCCAATTAGCAAAACCCTTCCTCCCTCCTGTGATCGCCCTCCCCCCTCCCCCCTCGCTTTTGATGGGCCGATTTTCCACCGCCAGTACCACAGATGGGAGAGGGAGGAGGAGGAAGAGGAGGAGGAGGAGGAGGACGAGGTGGAGGACGAAGATGCGGACGAGGACGAGGACGAGCAGGAAGAGGACGAGGACGACCACGATGACGAGGAGCGCGTCGCGGCGCACGAGGAGGATGAGCATGACGGCGAGGTGGAGGAGGAGGAGGAGGAGGAGGAGGAGCAGGCGAATGCGGGTTGCCCAAGAAAAGGAGGACGACTAGGAGGCCGCAGCAGACGAGGAGGACGAGGACGACGAGAAGGCTGGGGAAGGAGTACGGCGACGAGCTGGGAGCGGCGGAGGGCCGCTCCCAGCCAGGCCAATCACGGTGAAGACCACGCGGCCATCGAGTGGCAGGTGCCCCGCACGAGCATGCAGGCCGGGGGGGCGGCGGCCCTCGGCCTAGGCCTCCCAGATGGGGTCCGGGCAGACGGGGTGGGCATTGGCGCTGGTTCAAGGGCCCGTAGAGTGGGGGAGCACCGAAAGGACGATCTCGGCAAACCACGTAGGCCCAGGCTGGTGGGACTGCTCGGGTTTGACAGCTAGGACCTGTGAAGACGTCGAAGGGTCTGGGGGCCAACCCATCACAAAACTCGGTGCGCCGCATGTCTGGGACCCAGACCGATGTCGTGATCATCTCACAAGGTAGACTCCCGAAGGTCCCTGAGTCGTTCGTCTTGCTGACGGCCTGGGGTCCCGGCGTGGGCCCAGTGGGGCCTAGAACATGCTCAGCCGGGTCAGTTTTCAGTCCCCGATCCATGTTACTGACGGTCCCGGCCGGGTGCCCGAGCATGGCTCCCCGAGGCCGACATTGGCAGAAGTCGTTGGGATCTGGGGCAGCAGTCCGCCAGAGAGGGCGGGCGGTCGGTAGCCTCCAGAGGTCGGGTTTCTTCACCCAGGGTCCGTGGGCCCAGCGTGGGCGCCTGGACGGAAGTGGAGCATTCTTGATGGCTGTGCTTTTTCGCGACGAGTGGATAATGGATGATTATGTTGATGTTGTTGATGATGATGTTGATGATCATGATGATGATAATGATCATGATAATGATGATGATGCTGATGGTGATGATGATCATGATGATGGCCAGGATGCTGATGAGGATGGAGAGGCTGGTGATGAGGATGAGGATGATGATGCTGATGTTGATGCTAATGTCGTTGCTCTTGTCGTTGTTGTGTATGATGCTACTGATGTTGATGCTGATGAAGATTATGATGACTGGTGTTAATGAGTGATGGGGATGTGGATGATGATGATGATGATGATGATGATGATCACCATGTTTGTTGTGGATGATGACGATGATGAAAAGGGTGGTGTTGATAATTATGATACTGATGATGTTTATGCTGGCGATGATAATGACTATGAAGCTGATGATCAGGATAATGATGATGGTGGTGAGGATGATGATCAGGATGATGGTGAGGCTGGTGACGCGGATATCGATGGTGACGATGATCATGACAATGATGATGGTGGAGATGATGATGAGGATGGCGAGGCTGGTGACTACGATGAGGATGAGAATGATGCTGACGATGATGCTGCTGCTAATGATGCTGATGTCGTTGCTGTTGCCGTTGCTGTGTATGATGATCCTAATGCTGATGCTGATGCTGATTATGATGATTGGTGTTGTGAGTGATGATGAGGATCGCGATCAAGATGAGCATGATTGTTGTGTTGATGCTGGCGACGATGCTTATAAGGGTGTTGATATTGATGATGCTGATGCTGACGATGATGATGATGACTCGGGTAATGAAGATGATGATGCTGCTGTTGCTGATGATGCTGGTGATCACGATGATGCTGATACTGATGATGAGGATGTTGCTGATGGTACTGATGATGATGATGGTGAGGATAATGATGAGAATGATGGTCACGATGGTGATGAGGATGAGGATGCAACTGATGCTGATGTTGATGCTGATGGTGTTGCCGGTGTCGTTGCTGCTTATGCTGATGCTGCTTTTGATGATGATGCTGCTGATGATGATTGGTGCTATGAATGATGATGCTGCTGATGATGATGATCACGATCACGATGATCATGGGTGTGGAGTTGATGGTAGCGACAATGATGAGAATGGCCATGGTGATGATTTTGATACTGATGATGATAATGCTGATGCTGATGATGCGAATGCTGATGATGACTATGATGCTGATAATGATCACAATGATGATGCAGACGATACTGATGATGCTGATGATGCTGACACTCATTATGATGATGATGGTGTTGTTGCTGCTGCTTATGATGATGGGGATGTTGATAGAGCTGGTGACGACGACGATGACGACAATGATGATGCTGATGGTAATGATGGTGATGATGCTGCAAATGATGATGATGCCAACGATGACGACGACGATGATGATGATGGTGCTGATGATGATGGTTGTGAGGGGAGGAGGAGGAGGAGGAAGAGGAGGAGGTGGCGAAATAATTGGAGGGATGATGCGGATGGTGAGATGGTGCTGCTGCTGCGTCTGATGATGATGATGATGATGATGATGGTGGTGGTGATGATGACGAGGAGTATGAGGATGATGAGCATGACTTGCATGACGAGGATGATGAGTATACTGCTGATGAGATGAGGATGACGAGGAGGATGAGGAAGATGATGATGAGGATAAGGATGATGATCATGATGATGAGGAGGAGGAGGAGGAGGAGGACCAGAGTAATCCAATGAGGATCAACGATTCCGCAGTGTACCTTCCCGTCCCCCCAAAATACGCCCCACACATACCGAGTGTTCCTTCTCTGCTTACTGAAGTACGCCCCTTGTATTGTCGAACGCTCGGCCTGCATATAGGGCGAGGCCCTTGTCCTGTGAAGGAGCCACCCCCAGATCAGGCTCGGGTAAAGAGACCCTCTGGGAGGAGGCCTGGCCGCAGAAGCCAGGTCTTTGCAAACCAAGGACTCTGGAAGTTGGTCGGAGAGAAAACGAAGAATTGAGAACTGGAGCCGGCTGGACATCTGAGGTGGCCCAGCACTGGGTCCAGCGAGCGGAAAGGGGGGCGAGGCTCGAGGCTTGGGGTTTGAGAGGGTGGTTTGTCCTTGTCGGTGTCTGGGGGTCGTTTTCGGGTCGCAGTGTAAAATACAGTCGGGGCGCTGAAGAAGGAGCCCTTTTCGTTGGGGAGGGCCTCGATGTTCCTTAATTGTCCCACACCTTTTCTAGGGTTTCCCTTCTGTTTTCGATGGGAAGTCAGAGTTTAACCTACGAGAAGGGGGGCCTCGTTCCTCATTTAGGGTTCCTTAGGTCAACGCCCCGACTGTAATGCACCAGATTGGCCTGGGGAGGGGTCCGGGGGGCGATTCCGAGCGGACTTGGCTGCAGCCCTCTCTGTGGACAGCTTTCCTCGGGGCCCAGCTCGGCTCGGACGACCGCCGGCGCCCGGTACGTCCTCCGGACCCGCAGGCTCTCAGAGATGTCCGATTTGCCCTCCTCCGGATGTATTCAGGGCGCCGGATGTATCGGAAACTGGAACGTATACTAAAGCGACGCGAAGATCGGGACAAAATCGGATCGGGATAACTCGAAATCTCTGTGAATCGGCGGGTTTGGAGGATGTATTGGGCGCCGCGGCCGCTCCAGAGCGTTCCGGAAACGCTCAGGGCCGTTGTTTCACCGTTTCCCCAAAAATGTCCCTTGAAAATGGAAACGGCAAAAAGAAATGCGACCGGAAGCGGCAAAAAAACGGCTCCAGGATTGGAAGCGGAGCCGGAACCGGTCAAAAAACGGCGACGGAACCGGTAAAAAAAACAACGTCGGAACCGGCCAACAAAAACGGCAAAACGGAACCGGTAAAAAAACGGCCCTGTCGTTTCCAGGGCCAACTAAGGTATACATTACCAGTTGTGGGCTGTTTTCAAACCCAGGATTCTTGTGAGGGTCGGGGACGACGTCGGGGCGGTGTGGGTGCATAGTTTTCGATCCGTTCCCTGGGAAAACAACGAACACTGTATAGACCAGGGTCCCGTATACACCAGAAACCCTTGTTCCTGTGCGAATTTCAGCGCAGGGTCGGGAAAAGCGTCGGTGTATAGAGTTCGTTCCCCTGATTTCTTCATTCAGGCACAGCAGACGGGGGCACGGGGAACGCCGGTTTTCAAGTTTCGCCGCGCCCCTAGTGTTAGGGGGCCCTGGGCGCTGTGGACGGGGGCATCGTGAGCGGGGGCATACGGAAAAGCCCAATCCTCTCGTGCATCGTGCAGCTCTGCCCCCGCGTAGGAAAGCCCAGTTTATCCTCGTCCCGCCTTCCTCTTTTGGGGGGGGCGGCGCGTCCCCTGGCAGCCAGGCCAGCGGCTCTCCATCGGCGTCCTCCAGCAGCTGGGGCTTGCAGGCGCCCTCGGCCTTGCGCAACGAGGCGACGCCCTGGTACAGCGAGGCGACGCCCTCGCAGCCCTGCAGCTGAGGTATCTGATCTTTATCAATGGCGACATACGTCGCCGCGCCGTTTGTTCCGACGCGCTGGCCTTGCGTCTTGCGGAGGGCGCCTGGGCCGGTGGGTTTGCCGTGGCGGTGCCGGCCTCGTCTACCTGGGCGCGGGGCGCAAGGTTTGTCGTGGGTTTGCCGTGGTGTCGACGTCGTCTAATTGGGCGCGTAGAGAAAAGACGGCGCGGCACCGTATAGATTTGT